GGAGGCTGAGGCAGGAAGATCATTGAGCCCAGGAGGTGGAGGTTGCAGTGAGCCAAGATCATGCCACTGCACTCCACCCTGGGTGACAGAGAGAAACTCCAACTCAAAAATTAACAATTCTAGGCATTTAGTGCATTCACAATGTTGTGCACCCGCCTCTCTCTAGTTCCAAAACATTTCCATCACTCCAAAATAAAACCTCATACCCACTAAGCAGTCACTCCCATTGCCCTCTCCCAGCAACTGTATCTGCTCTTTCTACGGATTTGCCTATTCCAGACATTTCATATAAACGGAATCATATTCTAGGTGGCATTTGTGTCTGGCTTTTTTCATTGAGCATCCTGTTTTAAAGGTATATCCACGTTGTACTGTGGATCAGAGCTTCATTCCACTTCATGGCTGAATCACACTCCATTATAAGGATTCAGCACATTTTGTTTTCTCATTTATCCATGGATAGACATTTGGGTTGCTTCCACCTTTCCACCTTTTGACTAATGTGACCAGTGCTGCTCTGAACATTCATGTACAAGTATTTGAGGATTGTTTTCACTTCTCTTGGGTAAACACCTAGGAGTGAAATTGCTGGGTCATAGAGTAATTTTATGCTTAACTACTTTTTGAGGCAATGTCACTTCCCCATTTTTTTTTTTTTTTTTTTTTTTTTTTTTTTTTGAGACGAAATCTTGCTATGTCACTCTGACTGGAGTGCAGTGGCTTAATAATGGCTCACTGCAACCTCCACCTCCTGTTTTCAAGCAATTCTGTTGCCTCAGCCTCCCGATTAACTGGAACTACAGGCATGCACCACCACACCCAGCTAATTTTTGTATTTTTAGTAGAGACGGGGTTTCACAATGTTGGCCAGGCTGGTCTTGAACTCCCCACCTCGAGTGATCCACCAGCCTCTGTCTCCCAAAGTGCTGCGACTATATGCGTGAGCCACCATGTTTGTCTGACCCTTCTTAAAGGAACTTGTGATTTATTATAAAAAGCTGCCATTTAAAAGCTGTGACAGAGAAGTATTATTAGTTGTTCAGAGTTTAAGAAGACTTAGTGTAGTCTGTCATGTTTCAGGAGTGGGATGGTCAAGGGGGGCTTTCTTGGAAAAGTTAAAATTGATCTTGCTTGGAGATGAGAGAATACAAATAGGTTGTATGAAAAACTGAGAGAACTCCCTTCATGGCTGAGGCAGAAGGATCTACATGAGGCTGGAGAGGCACAAACTAAAACAGGTAAGATAGATTAGGTCCAGAGCAACACATGCCATGTTAAAGATTCTGGACTTTATTCTGGCAGTATGAGTAATCCATTGAAAGGTTTATTAGTGAGAATATAAAGTGACCTGATTTGCTTTTCAAACAGACCAACCTAGTGGGCAGAAACACGGAGAAAAGGTTTCAAGCGAGGGCGAGGTGAAACTGAGGGCAAGGGAATGCAGTAAGACTACCTTGGAGGCTACAAAATGTAGTTCAGATGAGAGATAGTCTGAAAATTAGGTGGTGCTACTGGGGAACTAAAGACAGAACTCAGGATACACTTAAGCGGTAGAATTAACAGGAATTGGTCATTATTTAGATACAGAGTGTAGGGCAGAAGAAAGTATCATTGATGACACCTTAGATTTTGACCTAAACAGTTGAGTAAATATTAGTGCCATTTATAAACTTTATGGACTGCACCTCCTTTATTTTGGTTGTTTTGCACGTTATCTTTACATGTTATTTTCTATCTCCTCAATGCCTTTGTTTCTCACCATTTACACCATGCCCTTGTGTTCTCTCTATCCACTGAAATAACTGCTTTATAAAAGCTGTGTTTTAATTTATTTCGAGATCTTCCTCCAAACTGTGGTGCAAGACTTCCTTCATGGAGTCTTTTATCAATATTCTCATCCTTGATTATGTTATCTTTACCTTATAGTTTATCAATATTTGTGTGTAATCTGTACCGTACTCTCTTGTATTTGATGCTTCTCTATGATTGATCTCTATTTTTATATATATGTACACACATTTGTAGGATTTCTCCAATTTTATATTGTAATTTATTTCTGCATTATGAGTATCTGCACCTGAAAGTCAGTGTAAAATGTGTAAGTACTACCTCTGTTACATCCGTTTGCTCTTTAGTATAATATTATATAAATAATATTCAATTACATGGAATTGAATATTATTTATAAATGTCAGATTTATAATATTGATAAACATTTTTTGTCTGTTCTAGGTTAATGCTCCAAATGGAACGACAAATATATTTCAAAATAGAGATTTTGATAGGACAAGTGGTAATAATATACAAGGGTTTTTTAATATTAATGACTAGAAAAGGTTTATAGATACAGTTATTTAGTCAGACTTCCTAAATGGGACATTTGACAGCATTATACAAAAGATCATTGAGTAAAACCAATCTGATTAAGTTTTTATTAACTTTGTAAATGCTTTTGAATATACTGTTATATAAAAAGTAATCCTGAATTTTTGTTGCAGCAGTTTTAAGCGTTTTACCAAGAAGTATGTAAAGCCTTCATTGCTTTCGTTTTTCTATTTTTCCTTCTNTTTTTTTGAGATGGAGGGTTGCTCTGTTGCCCAGGCTGGAGTACAGTGGCACAATCTCAGCTCACTGCAACCTCTGCCTCCTGGGTTCAAGTGATTCTCCTGCCTCAGCATCCTGAGTAGCTAGGACTACAGGCACGCACCACCACGCCCAGCTAACTTTTGTATTTTTAGTAGAGACAGGGTTTCACTATGTTGGCCAGGCTGGTTTTGAGCTCCTGACGTTGTGATCTGCCTGCCTTAGCATCCTAAAGTTCTGGGATTATAGATGTGAGTCACCATGCCTAGCCTACAGAATGAATTTTGCCTCCTTTCTCTCCCATTGCAATTTTTTTACTTTCATAGGGAGTCGTGCTGTGTTATCTAGGCTGGAGTGCAGTGGATCAATCATGGCTTACTGCAACCTCTGCCTCCCAGGTTCAAGTGATCTCCCACCTCAGCCTCCCCAGAAGGTGGGACTACAGGTTTGTGCCAACACACCGGGCAAATTTTTGTATTTTTAGTAGAGACACTGCTTCCCTACATTGGCCAGCCTGGTCTGGAGCTACTGGTCTCAAGTGATCCAGCCAGCTGGGCTCCCCAAAGTGCTGGGATTAGAGGCATGAGCCGCCACACCTGGCCTCCCATAGCTATTTCTAAAACACTCCATCAGCGGATGTGACGGCTCACACCTGTAGTCCCAGCACTTTGGGAGGCTGACATGGGTGGATCACCTGAGGTCAGGAGTTCGAGACCAGCCTGGTCAACATGGTGAAACCCCATCTCTACTAAAAATACAAAAATTAGCCAGGTGTGGTGGTAGGCACCTGTACTCCCACTATTGGGAAGGCTGAGGCAGGGGAACCGCTTGAACCAGGGAGGCGGAGGTTGTAGTGAGCCGAGAGTACCTCACTGCACTCAAACCTATGTGACACAGTGAGACTCCATCTCAAATAAATAAATAAATACACGCATGTATACATACATACAAACACTCCAACTACCAAGGCTGGGATTCAACCCCAGAACTTCTGATTCTAAATCCTGGTTATCTTTGGTTTTGTTTTTCTCTGCCCCACACTGCTGACAGTCCCCTGCACCTAGGACTACCCTCGTTCAATAGATGAGGACCGCAGGCTAGACGCTTGTTCGAGGCCTCACAGCTCCTAAGTGACAGAGCTGGGCTCTAGATTTTGAGCTGCCATGTCTAATCTTAAAACACCCTCATCTACTCTGTGCTCCTAAGATGACAAACAGGTAACAGTGAAAGAGAGAGGGAGAAAGAAAGAAAGAAATGCAGAGAACAAACAGATACGAAAAAGAGAGAAAGTTGGCCCCTTCCAAACAAAATACCGTTTTATTTTGTTTCTCGGCCTTTTCCAATTTTATGCCAGCACGGAATGAGGCACCAAGGGCCGGGGTGGTGCTCAGGTGTGGCCCACCAGGCGCGGGGTGCAGGGGAAAGTCTTACGCATGCCCATGCACTTCTCCTTGTCGATGCAGAGGGTGTTGGCCTTGATGGCGAGCTCGTGCTCCAGCCGGGACTTGGTCATGACCAGCAGCTGCAGTGTGTCCTGTGTCTCCCGCAGCCGCAGCTTGAGGGTCTGCAGGGTATCGTCGATGGTGAACACCTCGTTCACCAGCCTGGGGTGAGGGCAGAGGAGAAGCTATGGTTATTCATTTATTTATTTATTTTTGATACAGAGTCTAGCTCTGTTGCCAGGCTGGAGTACAGTGGCACGATCTCAGCTCATTGCAACCTCCATCTCCCAGGTTCACGATTCTTCTGCCTCAGCCTCCTGAGTAGCTGGGATTACATGCACACGCTACCACACCCAGCTAATTTTTGTATTTTTAGTAGAGATGGGATTTCACCATGTTGCCCAGGATGGTCTTGATCTCCTGACCTTGTGGTCTGCCCGCCTCGGCCTCCCAAAGTGCTAGGATCACAGACATGAGCCACTGTGCCCGACCTTTTTTTTGTTTAAAAGTAATTTGTTTGATTCTGATTATAAAATACAGGTGAGGAGCACGGGCAATGCTTGTAACCCCTTGGTTGTGCATCTTTCCAGCGTATGCTACTATAAATACCCTTTGTACAATAGCAAGCTCATGCTGTCCCCAAGGGCTTGCACATTCTAACAGCTGCAGAGCATAGTATATGACCAGATGGAAAGTTAAACAGACGCCCCACTCACGAGGAAGGCCCCTCCAACTTGTCTTCCAGCTCCCTTTTGCTAATAATAACTGATTGCTCTTCTTATTGATCACAGATAAAGTATACCTACACAATTCTCCGAGTGCTTTCAAGTAACCTCAGAAAGCAGTGACGAAGACCCTTTCCTTGCTCCCAGCTTGCTATGTCCCAGGCTGCCTGTGGCACCCCAACTGCTGCTGCCTGCCCCTGGGTCCCGCACATTCCAGGGCGATCATGGATAAAGGGCAAGCCAGGCCAACCATGAGGAATTAACAGTCTTTATTGGGCTCAGACCAGAAGTCCGTGGGTCTTGAGGACCTCTGTGTATTTGTCAGTTTTCTTCTCCACGTTCTTCTCTGCCTGTTTCCATAGCCTCATGAGCTGTTTTTCCTTCTGGTCGTGGATCTTGGCTTTCTCTTTCCTCTTCTCCTCCAGGGTGGCTGTCACTGCCTAGTACTTTTGGCCAACGTCATGAGCCAGGCATCCCAGATAGGCCAATTTCCTTGTAGGCTTCAGTCGCACGACCGTGAGGGCAGTGGGAACCACCATCCGCTTTTTCTTGTCGTAGGGCTGTGGGATGCCGTCAAACACCCCGAGGCGGTCCAGGGCGGCCCGGCCTCGTTTGGTCTTGTGGGGCAGCATGCCTTGCACTGGCTGCCAGAAGATGCAGCTGGGGGTCCGCAAGTGGTAGTGGCCTCAGGAAGGATTAGTGTTCATCCGCTTGTGGAGGAAAGCCAGTACTTCAACTTGTTTTTATAGAAATTGCCAAAAATATTGATGCCCTCGCAGCATATGACCACTGACTTGCAGTCCAGGAGTACCTGCTTCACCACGATGTCTACAGGCGGCCCAGGAGATGGCCGCGGCCATGGAGCACAAGGACCCGTACCTCCATCATCTTTGGCAGTCACCTGGAAAAGCTGTTTATTATTTTTTGAGACAGAGTCTCCCTCTGTCACCCAGACTGGAGTGCAGTGGCATGATCTTGGCTCACTACAACCTCTACTTCCCGGGTTCAAGCAATTCTGCCTCAACCTCCTGAGTAGCTGGTATTACAGGCACATACCACAACGTCCAACTAATTTTTGTATTTTTTTAACATAGGCGGGCTTTCACCATACTGGCCAGGCTGGTCTTGAACTACTGACCTCAAGTAATCGAACTGCCTTGGCCTCCCAAAGTGCTGGGATTATAAGCTTGAGTCACTGTGCCCAACCTGGCACAGGTTATTCAGCAGTTGAAGGTAGATGCACTCACTGTGTACCAGGAACTGTGCCTGGCACTGAGAGACAGCAGCAAGCATGACAGGCAAGGCTCAGCCCTCCAGGAGAAGGTAGAGGCAGAACAGGCAGACAAGGAAATACATGAGAAGCTGCCAAGGATAATGCACACAAAGTAAGAAATAAGACAGCACGATAAAACAGGACAGGAGACCAATCTTGAGATTCCTCCGTGAGTTCGACATAGACTTACTATTCAGTCCAGCAGTTCTGTTCCTGAGTGTATACCCAAAAGAATGAAAAACAGGTGTTCAAGCCAAAATGTGTACATGAGTGTTCACAGCATCCCTATTCACAATAGCCAAAAGGTGGCAGCAGCTCAAATGCCCATGGATGGATGGATGAGTGGATAAGCACAATGTAATCAATCCACAAAATGGAATATTATTCAGCTATAATAAAAAAGAATGAAATACTAATACATGTGACAACATGGATGAATCTTGAAAACCATTATGCAGGGCCGGGCATGGTGGCTCACGCCTGTAATCCCAGCACTTTTGGAGGCTGAGGCGGGTGGATCACGAGGTCAGGAGTTCGAGACCAGCCTGGCCAACATGGTGAAACCATGTCTCTACTAAAAATACAAAAATTAGCTGGGCGTGGCGGCAGGTCCCTGTAGTGCTAGCTACTTGGGAGGTTAAGGCAGGAGAATCACTTGAACCCAGGAGATGGAGGTTGCAGTGAGCCAAGACTGAGCTATTGTGCTCCAGCCTGGGCAACAGAGCAAGACTCCATCTCAAAAACAAAACAACGAAAAACCATTATGCTCAACAAAGGAAGCCAGACACAAAAGAACAAATATTGCATGATTACATTCACATGAAACATCCAGAATAGAGGCCAGGTGAGGTGGCTCTTGCCTCTAATCCCAGCACTTTGGGAGGCTGATGCGGGTACAACACCTGAGGTTGGGAGTTCGAGACCAGCCTGACAAACATGGAGAAACCCTGTCTCTACCAAAAATATAAAAAATTAGCCAGGTGTGGTGGTGCATGCCTATAATCCCAGCAACCTGGGAGGCTGAGGCAGGAGAATCGCTTGAACCCAAGAGGCAGAGGTTGCAGTCAGCCAAGGTCACGCCCATTGCACTCCAGCCTGGGCAACAAAAGCAAAACTCCATCTCAAAAAAAAAAAAAAAAAAAAAAAAAATATAAAAATAAAAAAAAAAAAAAAAAAAAAAAAAAAAAAAAAAAAAAAAAAAAAAAAAAAAAAAAATATATATATATATATATATATATATAAAAAGAAATATCCAGAATAGACAAAGTCATACAGACCGAAAGTTAACTAGCGACTTCCATGGGTCAGGGGGTGGAGAGAATGTAGAAGATTGCTTAACGGATACAGGTTTCCTTTTGGAGTGATGGAAACGTCAAAGTGAGGAAGGAGACCCTTAATCCTCGTAGGCTTTTAAGAGCCCTTCCCCTAGACTTCTCCATTGCATTTCAATAGAAGTAAAGGCTGGCAGACCAGGGCGCCACCCTTAATCGCACTCCTGTCGTTCACAGGTATGGTGTGGAGGAATCTTTCTGGAAGGCATTGTTTTCACTTAAACGCTATCACACCCCCACCTAAGTCACATACCCCACACCTACTTCATGGACCAAGACCCTTTCACATGTAATTTCTGGAGTTGTAAGCCTTTAAAAGGGCAGGGATTTTCTTTGTCAGGGGAGCTCTGCTGTTAGGCAACTATGCCGTGGTCGTGGTCGTGGCCGAATAAATCACCCCTTCCTTCCCAGTTCGGTGTTGGAGAGGTTTGTTTTGCGGCCTTTCCTGCTACAATAGAACTAGAGAGTGCTGAGGGCTGCACAACAGCGTGAATGTCCTAAATGTCACTGATGGTAAATTTTGTGTTACTCATACTCTATCACAATTTCTTTTTAGTAAACAGGATAACAGGGCCAGCCTTGTCTCTAGGTAAGAGCCTCACTCAAGTCTCCCTTACTGTCCAGGGCACTATCCCCAGCTGCTGTGAGTCAGTTTTGGCTGCTAATGGCCCACAGATCCACACTCCTCAAGAGAATTATGTTGCTTAGCCAATCACAGCTACCTCACCTGGGAGGAGAGTCACTGCCAGTGGCCACAGACAATGGCTGGCTGACTCAGGTACAAAGGGTCTCAGGTGCAGACATATGCGTGATGCAATTCATGGTCTGGGGCCCCTTGCAGAATCAGCTGGGGCTGGGCTGCCCTGTACTACTTCCCCACACCTCTCCTTCTGAGGCTTTGCTTTTCCAGAACTTTCTGAGGAGAGGACTTTTTTCCTTTTGAGACACAGTCTCACTCTGTCTAGGCCAGAGTGCCGTGGTGCAGTCATAGCTCACTGCAGCCTCAACTTCCTCAACTCAAGCATTCCTCCAGCCTCAGCCTCCCAAGTAGCTGGGACTAGAGGTGGGCAAAACTGCACTCGGCTAAGTTTATATTTTGTGTAGAGACGAGGTTTCACCATGTTTCCCAGGAGGCCTTGAACTCCTGGGTTCAAGCAATCTGCCTAAGTCAGCCTCCCAAAATGCTGAGATTACATGCATGAGTCATAGCACCCGGTCGATTTAAATTTTTTTTTTTTTTTTTTTAGACAAGGTCTCCCTCTGTCACCCAGGCTGGAGTGCAATGGTACCATCATAGCTTACTGCAACCTCAAACCTCTGGGTTTAAGAGATCCTCCTGTCTCAGCCTCCCACACAGCTGAGGCTACAGGCATGCACCACACACCTGGCTATTCAAAGAAAAAATTTTATAGGGATGGGGTTTCGTCTTTTTGTCTCCAGGTTGGTCTCAAACTCTTGGACTCAAGTGACCCTCCTCCCTCAGCCTTCCATGGGAGGACTTGGAGTAGAGAAGAAAGATCAGACTGAGCTGGACATGCGAAGGCCAAGAGAGAAAGTATGCTGCAGCAGTGCCATGGAGTAGAACTTTCTGTGAAGATGGAAATGGTCTATATCTACACCATCCAATATGGTACCCACCAGCCCCATGAGGCTACTGAACACTTGAATGTGGCCATGCAATCGAGAAGCTTAATTTTTAACTGTATTACATTAAAATTTAAATTTTGGCTGGGTGTGTGACTCACACTTGTAATCCCAGCACTTTGGGAGGCTGAGGTGGGTAAATCACTTGAGGTCAGGGGTTTGAGACCAGCCTGGCCAACATGGCAAAATGCCGTCTCTACTAAAAATAAAAAAAAAATTAGCCAGATGTTGTGCACACCTGTAATCTCAGCTACTTGGGGGGCTGAGGCACAAGAATCGCTTGAACCCATGAGGCAGAGGTTGCAGTGAGCCGAGATCATGCCTCTGCACTCCAGCCTGGGTGACAGAGCAAGACTGTTTCAAAACAAATAAATAAATAAATAAATCAGCCAGGAACAGTGGCTCATGCCAAAGTAATTGCAGCACTTTGGGAGGCTGAGGCAGGGGAATCACTTGAGGTCAGGAGTTCAAGACCAGCCTGGCCAACATGACAAAAGCGTCTCTACAAAATTTAGCCAGGCATGGTAGCACATGCAAATAATCCCAGCTACTAGGGAGACTGAGGCAGGAGAATGGCTTGAACCAGGGAGGTGGAGGGTGCAGTCAGCCAAGATTACGCCAGTGCACTCCAGCCTAGGTGACAGAGATGCTGCCTCAAAAACAAATAAAATAAATAAATACATTTAATGAATTTAGTTTCAGATTATTTAAATGGCCACACATGGCTACTAAGTTGGACACTGAGTGAATTTTTAAAGAGAAAAGCAGCTGGCATGGTGGCTCATGCCTGTAACCCAGCACTTTGGGAGGCTGAGGCAGAGAGATCAC